TTTTCAAATATCATAATAGAAAAGAAAAAAAAAAAAAAAAAAAAAAAAAGGAACAAGATGCTTTCATACTAAAAAAAATAAAACTAAAATCTTCTCAAAATATAAACGATTTTTCTTTTAAATGAACAAAGTCTATGATAATATAAAATGAAATCTACTCCATGATATGTTTAAAAAAAATGTGTTTATACATTCGAATGGAAATTTCGACCATGAATAAAACCCATAACTAATAAAAGCAACAACATCAATCACCTATGGACTTGTGATTTTGTTGTCATATTTTGTGAATGCATCTAGACTATTCCATGAAGGCAGACAAACACAAGAACAACGCCGTTTCCTCCACAAACAATTTGAACCCAGATGAGGAAGTTGGCAGAATTACTTTCAATACTCACCTTTACAAAATTTTGAGGTTTACTTCTAGTGTTTGTGGACACAAGATTCCTTGAACTTTAACGCTTGCAAACGCCACAGATAATCAGAGTCATGGTGTCCTATCAGAAGATCACTAGAATGCATTTAGTAGCTGAGCGATTATGGATTTGAGAAAATGCAGAGATGCATCCATGTGGGACTGAATGAAGATTGCGAAGAATGATGGTTAGTTTGAACCATGAAGAGCTTACGGCCATTCTATGAAGCAACAATATATGAGGATGAGATTTTTCGATGTATATACAACTTGGTTCGCTGCGTGTTTCTACTCAGATTTGACCACAATCAAAGACAAAAGCTTCGTCTTCGAAAATGAATTTTCAACGTCGTTCATGAGACTGTCCCTTTAGCTAATTGCTTACGCTGTGCTGCTGCTGCTGCACTTCATGTTGGTATGGTGCCAAGTATGAATACCGACTGGATTTGGAACTGAGGTTGGACGGACCATTGCAAAAAATTTGCATGTCTTGCAAGGAACTTCAATGCATCCTGGCTAGAGCTCGTGCGCTGAATAAGAATAAGAATTTCGCTGTGATTGCAGATGCGACTTGCTTTTACTCGATTGACTATTCTCATCAGCAGACCTTAATAGGTATAATCTTCTTGTCGATGTCAGAGCGAGAGAGCTATGAGTACCGCTGAATCTTCATTTCTTTTTCTCCACTGATGTTTTTGAGGCTCTTTGGTCAGCAATTGTTCACTGCAGAGATGATGTGGTATTAGCAATGGTCTTGACCCGTCAATTAAACCACCCTAAAACCACTACAGATTGTCTAGTTATCAACTTTGTGCATTACAAAAACCTTTCACCAATTGTGCTAAACTTCATTCGGAAACGTAATCTGGAATGTGTCAGTGGAGGACCTTCTCTTGCCACAATTTCAAACGACTTGTCAACATACTTCAGGCTATTGGACTCAGAATCTTGGAAGCCGAGTTTCAAACGGCCCGCAAGGTTGTTTCCTGCAAGTGTAGAACAACGACTGGTGCCGTTAAAAACTTACCAGTCATGGGATGAGGAATCCAGCAGCTTTTTGAGCAAAAGGACGGTGGTAAGTTGGTAGGCTACATGCGTGAACGTGTGTAGAGTACATGACCTTCACGGAAAGTTTTCAGCACGTGATGTACAGACTTTAGCTTTGGATCTAGCCTCAACTTGCCCGTCCATGGTGTTTATATATATATATATATATATATACATGTACTCATATCCATGATCTTCATCGGATTAGTTACAAGTTGACTACTAATGTGTAAAGTAGCCACGAAATCATTCACGGCACAACCAAGCTCGCTACCGTCCATGCAACACAGAGAAGATGACGATGACACAGACAGCAACGTCAATCCACATCTCGGAACCATTCTCAGTCTGCAGGATTTGTGAGACCCCAGAGTCCGCACGGAGCATTCGAAACCAGCTTCTAGACATGACATTTACACACACTCCGAAATCTCCTTCTTTACCTGCCGGATCCTCCAGATTCTCCAGGCATTGTGGGTGAGATGAGCACAATCAGCACTACATGCCGTGGATATTCACTCCATTTTCTATGATTTTGGTAACTTGTAATGTAGATGAGAAGATGTTCTAGTTTGAAGGATTCTTAACCACTGTTAACTACTTGCAGTTGAGTCTGTGTGTGCAGTGTTTACAGTGTTTTTTCTTTCGTTTTCTACAAGTGGGTTGTTGAAAGTTAACCTGTAAAAGATGGAAGAATGGGTTTGATGTCAGGAAAATCAATAAAGAGAAAAATAAAGGATAAAAACGAGTTCTCATATCAGTCAGAAACTGTATTTTTTTACTTTTGATTTTATCCGTTTAAGTTTACATGAGATGTTTCCAAAGGGAGAAAATGTTAACTGAGTTTTATAAAGTTTGAACGAGGTTTGGACTTCATGTAAAACATGTCTTTTTATGTCTATATATATAAATATGACAAGCTGTCCTTATTTTAAAAATAAATGATTAAGCAGTTGTACAAAATGGATTGTTTTCTTTTATATAAACAAAGTGTAATAAGAAAGAATAGAAATCATAAAAAGCAGGACTTGAAAGAACAATTAAGTTCTCATGTTCTCACATAACTAATATTATGTTTTTATTTTTATTTTATTTTCTTATTTTCTAAGAATTATTATTTATATAATCAGTAACTTGAAATGATTCAAAATAACAACATATGTGCTCTTGATAATTATCACAACAATAATAGGTTTTGGCTTGAAAGGGTTCAAACAATGCCCAAATATTATCACTAATGAATATGTTTGATATTTGAAATTTTATATTATACCTCATTTTCTAATACCTTTAAAGATTAAACATGAACTACAATCCCTAGAACTACCATAAATGAGGACAATAATGCTACCCGATTTTTTTAGTGCTACCAAATTCAATTGATTTGCAACCCATTATTTTACAAGGACATATTATGAAAAATACTTTTAGCACATCTTTCAAACAAATTATCTCTTTTGAAATGGATAAATCAATTCTATCAAAGACATTATTATTTGTCACATTTAATATCATTCCATTTATAGAAACAATAGTGCAAACGTACTACCAATTTTTTGGTTGCAATTATAATATTTAATAAAATATATAAAATTTAGTGTGTATATAAATATAGTGTGTACCATAGATACAAACGTGCCATGGAATTTTGTTTTGTTTTGTTTTTTATCTTTTTTGGACTCAAGCTCCATCCAAAACTTTTTGGACGCGGGCAGCTTCGTGAAATGCACAGGGAAGATCCAGAGGGCAGGTTGTGAAAAAAGATTTGGTGAGATGCCCGGAAAGTTAAGCAGGAACTCATTGTGGGCGATTTTGAACTGACCAGGCCAACCAAACTCGGGCAGAAGGAAAACATTTGGTCTGTGGGGTAGGAGAAATTTTCCCACATGCTGCCCGGGGTTGTGATGTCATCTACGACAGACATGACGTCAGCCTTGTTTGACCCACTCCATTGCAAATTCGTAAGAGAAAAAAGCGACATGAAAAGAAAAAGGATAGCTAAGCGAGCGAAAAAGAAAAGTAACTAGAAGGAAAAGGAAAGGGAGGAACGAATGGAACTTCTGAAAATTAAATCAAATGTGATAATATGTTACCCCGGGCAAAATTTGTTATTTTTACACGTATTTTTGAAGTTGTAATTTTAAAATTGAGTAAATTTTTGTGATATTTAAATTTTTGATGATTAATCTGTGTGTGTGTATATATATATATATATATATATCTATATATACATACGTACAAAAATAAGGCCCCTTTTACCAAGTGGACACCTTTATATCAAGCACCTTTGTATACACATAGTAAAATTCTTATTTACACTAAAAATATTACCAATTATAATTTATTATATTTATTATTATTCTATTTAAATTTTTGATGGCATAAATTCTAATAACAAGTGGCATAATTTATTTATCTATTCATAGTATCTCAAAAATAAATAAATAATAATAATAAAAAATCCAATTGGTTATTGATTAGGCCAGAGTCTATATATTATTCTATCTTTTCATCAGTATAGATCATCTTAATTTTTAAATTTTTTTCAAAAACCTTCAAAACATTTAATAAATTTTAAGAAGTAATATATAAATATTTTTTTTTCTTATAAATATTTATAAATATTTAAATTATAAGAATAATCATGACTACAATAATATTTTTAAAACAACAAAAAAGGTTGTAAAAATTTGTTTATTTGTATGCTCAAACGTGAAAATGACTTGTTGATAGTATGACAATACAAACCAAATCAATAGAAAAACAAAGTTTGTAATGATATAAAGTAGATTTTTTTTCAAATAGCACAACACCACTTCAAAAATAATAGATTATACTGTGCCAATTTCGACAAACACTTTTATTTTTTATAATCTTGTTATGATTAAACCATTTTATAATATTGTCACAACAACTTGAATTTGAAATCCACAATCAAAAAGTATTACTAAGACAACAATTCAAACATCCTATAATAGCTAAGAATATTTACAATATTGTTATGCACATTAAAAATAAAGTGTATATACATATATAAGTATATATATGTATTCGATTGAGAAAAAGCTAAAAGGCAACAAGGCAAGGGCAGCGATGGGAGTAGGAAGAAGGTGAAAGGCGCTTTATTACAGAGCTTGATGTCGACGTTGACAGAGTAACCTGGCAGCTGAGAAATTATGTTTCGGAGCAGACTTTGTACATCCCATGAGCTCTCGTGACGACGATCGATGTGGGATAGTTGGCACATCGCCTTTGCCGGTGAAGATCAAGCACCTTTCTGGTTCTGATTCGGAATCGGAGCATGATCTCCGAAAGAGTTGGCGGAAGCTGCCTATCAAAGTTCTGCTATTACTGCAGACAGATCGGAAGCTCCCCAGCACCCGCACCCTAGCTGCCGATCGCATCCCTTAACCATCATTTTTTTAAGAAAAAAATGGTAAACTGATCAGTTGAGATCCATTCTCAGAAAATGACGGCAACGACCTGGAATGGAAAAGCAGGAAATGGGTGGTTTCATTGTGGGTGGCGTCGCTAGTCTGCAGTGATAATGGAACTGCTCGTCTGTTATAAATTTTCTCGAGTTTCTTCATTCACCACTTCATTCCCTAGCTTCTCAGTCTCAGTCTCTTCAATGTTCAGCACACATCCTGGTTCCTCATCTTTTCACCTAGCTCGGTGTCTCAGTGTCTAAGTGTCGTGGTCTCTTTCTCATTCCAATTGCAACGCTGGTTGTGATTCGATATCCGGTGCAGCAGCTCCTCATCGCTGTTGATAGTAGACTATCTTGTCGTCTGGCCTTAAATATTGAAAGCAGATCTTGCATTGGACATCTTGGCGGTTACGTTGGGAAACAGTGTTGCTGTGTTCAGGACGGTTGGAGTAGCAGCGATGAGCCTCAATGATGTATGGACTCAATCACGTTTGTAGCTTTGATGACTTTCACTCGAGTCGTAGATTGGTTCACGTGACAGTAGAACTGGACAGTAATTCCTCTTCCGAAAGGATATGTTGAGTTTGCTTATTCTCCTTTGTGCCACATGATCTGATCTTCAAGCTGCCAGAGGTTTTCATAAGACGACCTTTTTTCAAAAAACATTGCACAGGTCTTTTTAGCGCGCAGTGAGCCTTGGTGGATGAACGAGCACCCTCTTCCTTACAGAGATGCAGGGAATTCTCCGGTAAACCCTTTTATCCCCATGCTTCTCATCTTCTAGGGTGAGTTTTCAATTCCTCTACGAATTTGGCCTTATGACTGGAGATTCTCTTACCCATGATTCCGGTGGAAAAACTTGTTTTATCTCGGTGGAGGGGATGATTGTCCGAGATGGGAATAGAATCTTCGGTCGACTTGCAAATCCATAACACTTTAGTTGGTGGTCATGCAGAGGACAGAATTGAGGGCGGTTATGTGCTGCAACAAGTGTGAGGAAAAAGTTCGGGAAGAAATCAGTGAAGCGTACGGTGAGCGCCTTGGTTTATTGTTTCACCGCTGATTCTTTTTTTACTTCAGCTTTGCTCTGTTTGCAAGTTGAGACATGTAATGATCATGCTCACGCAGAAATGCAATTTTGTTGACATAGGTGTGGAAGAGATTTTCACAGACCAAACACGTTCAAAAGTTGTGGTCTACGGCTATGTGGACAAACATGATGTGTTGAAGAAGACGAGGAAGGTGGATAAAAGAGCGGACATAGTGTCGTCCGATTCGTTCACGTTCTACCACGATAATCACAGCAAACACCGCAAGCATCACAAACACAGCCAGGGGTATTTCTTCGACAACAGCCGCGGCCACATCCACAACCGCACAGGCAACCATCTGCCAATATTTGAAGTGACTGGCAGTCCTCGCTATAACTCTAGCTTCGTCCAGTCCAGCTCATATGACAACATCTCCGACCGCCGACATAGCAGCTACTACGTGCCTGGGTACCAATCAACGCAAACAAGCAACAACAGACTCAATTATAAACCCGACTCCAGGTACAGGCATTTAAACAATGGCTATCAATCCGAGCCAGAGAATAGATACCGATACCATGACTATGAATCAAGCGAATACGGACCCCAGCATGACCATCGATACAGGTACGGGTACAGCGGCTACAAACCAAGCCAGAGCTATCCTCCGAGTTATGTCGAAAGAGATTACCGAGGTTCACCATATCCATTGGGCATCACGAACCCCACCTACATAAAACATATCAAGTGCTCTTGATTTCTGAAGGTCATCGTCAACGAATTTGAAGCTTCGTGTACAACACGCAATATGTATGTATGTATATATATATATATATATATATAGAAAGAGAGAGAGAGAGAGAGAGAGAGAGAGCGAGATGTCATATGACATTAGTCGTGCACGCCGTGGAGTCTTATAAAAAAAGATTTCGACTCTGTTCATTCTGAAGTTTGCAAAAAACAATGATCATGGCGGCTGTTGTATTCTTTGGCTGGAAAACCAAACATGCTTTAGAAAACCAGAGAAAGAACGATACAAGAGCAGAAATTCAATGGGAGGTATACAAAAGTAAACTCCCTGTCCGTCGAATATTCTATCGAAGCTTCATTCTGCTTTCAGAATATTGGCTCAGCTTCTGATTTTGTGAATACAACCTTGGAGGCTGTATTTGGAAATACAAAATATTTGTACAGTGAGCAGACTTTCTGCATAATGTATCTAATGGTGAGGTGGGTGATAAGTGAGCTTGCTCCGATGCTGGTTCATATGTTGTTTACAACGTGAAAGAGGGAATCTATGCGTCGTGGATGTGGGAATCTGCGATACAGGTCTTCACGAATGAATGCAGTTCCTGAGTCTTATATTTCTGGTTGCTGTGATGTTGATTCTAATGCTGATTGAGTGAGTACAACATTTGCTTCAGGTTCGGATCTCGGTACTGGTTTGATCCCAAGGAATGTCCTCACAATTAGGTCTCACACGAAGCATGTCAGCTTCCGTTGACAGGCTTGAGTTGCCAGTACATTGTCGTTTTTCACACGGATCTTTTAAACTACAGGGTTTGTGATAGATACATGCTCAAGGTACTGCAGAAGAACGCCGTTTTTTCGATCAAAGTCATTAGTTTGGAGCTTTATCATTGCAGAATGTATGTTGGATGCTCAATTCATACTGAAGTTGCTGGGTCAGTTAGAGGAAAAACAGAAGATAAACTTGGATTCACCACGCATCTCTTCACCGGATGAGAATATCAGTCAAACAGAGGGGAAGAGGTTTAGTCTCTCGAAGGAACCATCATAAACCTAGACTGTGTCGCCGAAGACCTAATTCTGCACACCAGCAACTTTATATTTCATGCGCTTCATGTTTTATTGAAGTTGTTATTTCTCGCGGTCCGCAAACACCAGCCATTGAGTCCAGCATCCTCGATTGGTGGTCTCTGTTCGTGGATTTAGGCGGATGGAATTCTGCGAAAGAGGTCTTGGAGTGATCTCTTGTCAATTGGGTAGGTGTGCATATCAAACTTTTTTCTTTCTATCGCATTGAAATTACACTGTGTTTTCTAGTACTGAACGTGTCAACTACTGGAATGAAAACTGCTGCTGCTAGATTACTCCATGCAGTTTGTGGTCGGAATGATGCTAGTTTCAATTGCATAGAAAAATAGCTGCGCGCTAATTTACTTTTTTGACGGAGAACTTCTGTTACTCCTCAGCCGTCCACTCATCATGCGTCGATCGATGCAAGTGATGATCAAAGGAGCACATGTCTCTAAAAGACTGAGAGTGTTAACAGGGTATTGCTACCTCTGTTAATAATCCAGAAAGAGTTCAGTTCCCTAAGCATTGGTACACGAGATTTCGATGCAGCGTCGAAGGTTGAGGAGATTTTATGGCGCTAGGACCCAAATAAAATGGATGTAAAAAATACCACTGCCCTTGCCATCATCTGTCTACACTTATTACAATCTTGCACTTATCTTCAGTTGTTATACTGTTCAATGTGCATGCTTCCCTTTCAAATCTAATAGCGTTGGGTTTGATTAATTACAGCAACATTATTGAGGGCAGCAGGAAAACAAGATAATCTGGGCACCAGTTCGACCAAGTCCCTGTCACCATGTGTAGTGTTGTCAAGGAATTTGAATGGCTCGACTTCATTTCTGTGCATCTTGCAATATTCAGATTGAAGCACAAGTAGAAGTCTATTTCTCATAGAACCACATCTTATGCATACTCTCGATGTCCAGGTGGTGAATCCAGGATTTAGGGCATCGTGGGCATCGAGTTCAAAGGAGCTGTCAGTGTTGATCATGATCAGATTAACGTAAGTTTGATACAAGATCCAAGTACTGACCTGCAACCGCACCTCAGTTGATAGAGCAACTTTTGCATTTGTAACAAAACAGAGACATTCATTTGCTTTGCAAATATAAAGGCACCAGAACAAGGGAGTGGCAGCACTTTGTGGAATTTCTATTATATATTTCTATTATTATACAAATCATACTATTCAACACTTCTCTTCCACTAGTGGGACTTAGTTTTCTATTGAAAGAAGGTCTAATATATTTCTAAAAACTATAAACTTATCTTTAGGAAGAGGTTTTGTAAAGATGATTGTTGCATCTGCTTTATGTGACAATACTCCAATCTAATCTATCATTTCTCTATACATTGCTTGATGAAATGATGTTTTTTATTCCAATGCTTTGTACAACTATAGTGTGTTGGATTTATAGTAGTAGCAATAGCGTTCTAATTATCTTTATAAATGAGGATCTTCTCTTATTTGAAAATGTCATAATCCTTAAATATTTTACAAAGTTACAAAGTTTTAATTGCTGCAGTGGCCAAAGTTGTATACTCTACCTCTATTGATGAAACAAGGATTAATAATTACTTCTTGCTTGACCAAGTAATAGTTGTTCCACCTAACATAAATACATAACCATCCATTGGATGGCAAGTCTTCATACAACCTACTCCATCTCCATTACTATAGTCTAGAAGTTGCAAACTTATTTCTTTACCTCTATATTGCAATACCAAAACTTTTTGTTTCTTGCAAGTAATAAAACATTTGTATAATTCCTTGCCAATGCCAAATACATAGGTAAGCCATATATTAAACAAAGTGTTTACAAGAAAATGCAATGTTGTACCTTGTACCATTTATAAAATACAATAACAAAGCTAAAGCTTTTTTATGAAGATTTACATCTTCTAAATTAAAAGAATTGCCATTCTCACACTTAATAAGATGACCTTATATCATTGTTGTTGCAATTGTCTTTATGTTTTTCATTCCAAATTCTTCAAACTTATAAAAAATATATTTAGTTTGGTTTAGACTAATAGTACCATTCTTCTTATTTTTAAAAAAATCAATGCAAAAAAAATAACTATGTTCATTGAGGTCTTACATCTTGTAACACTCTTACAATTTATCTTTGTATTTTACAAGGATATCAAAGTTGGCATTACTCTATTTCTTATAAAGAGATAAGCTATTGGCTTATTTAATGGTTTCTAGTTCTATATATTTATCAACATAAATAATATCTACTATTTCAAGTAGCAAGTTATAATCTCCTTAAAAAAAATTATTGTTATTTTTTCAAGATGTGCAATGCATCCTACTACCACTTATAATGTTTGTTGAATCAATACCACTTATATAACATCTTGGTAATAGAGCTTAAATGATTGCCTCCACTTTTGGTAGATAGAATTCTATTATTTCTTTTAGTATAGAACTTATCTTATTGTCAACCATTTCTCAACCAATTCCATCATATATATGTGATTCTAAAGCTTGAAATTTGGATATTTCTAATCTACTTAAATTTTGAAATTAAGCAAACTAAACATTTTTTTTTTTATAATCTCCATCTTTTGTATTCTTTTCTTTAAGAGTCAATGGCTCACCAAGCAACCCATCCTTGTTCTCAAGAAAAATTACATTTCAATTAAGAATTATCTTTTTTTTATTATGTGGAAAAATCTCATATCTCTTTTTTACATCTAAACATCTAATAAAAATACCTTTTTTTGAATTTGTATTAAGCTTTTAATATTTTATTTTTGATATATTATACTAAAGAATGTTTATACTCCTTCAAAAATAATCTACATCATATATCCTATCATGTCAATAATCTCATATATATACATAAGAGTAATCATGTACCAAATGCCTTCAATCTTGAAGTAAAAATCAAGCTTATAATTCAAGAACTTGTTACCTTGATTAATAAAAAAAAGTTTCTATCATTTTTCTTAATTCTCTTTTGTGCCTATGATTCTTAAGTCTTATAAGCATCATGTACATGGTCTTTAGTCTAAAGAAATAGAAGGCTAAAATAATCAAAGAATTTATAAATCCACACAACAAATCATTCGGCACCACCAAAACTAGTTGTATCAAAATAATCAAGATGAAACACTATTATATTTAAAATACCATTTGCATGCTTATGCTTATCCAAATAGGTTGCATATTGGCCTTAACAACAATGCATAATTTACATATAGATAATTTATTCTTTTTATCCTTAATATTTAAACTTTCAACACTATTCATTTGTTTTGATGCCTGTATTGTATGCATTGAAGCATGTTCTAATATTTGATACCATGTAATGAACACACAATCTAAGATAGATGAACTAGCAAATGTAAAAACTTCTTCAATTTCACAAAGTATAAGATAAGTTTTATTATTAAGTATACATTAAATGAGTGAGGCACTTGTAAAAAGAATCCAATCTATTCCATTGTCATCTAAGCTAAACTTACAACCTTTTTTGCACAAGTTTGTGGCTAATAAGATTGTATTACATACTCCTAGAAATCAAAATACATCCTTCACAACTACAAGAATGTATTTTTCCTTAGGGTCCAAAATTATGAGGTACATCTTATATGAACTTTGTGATTTGTTAATGCCACCATTATAGCCTTGAAGTTGGATGGTCGTATTTTCATTCAAGTTGAGAAGCTTATTCATGTCTCTTTAAGTGCATATATATGTTATGTTGTCAATACAAACACAATAACATAATTGAAACAATAATGCAATTGTTGCTTGTAACTTATATGATATCTCTTAAGTTGAAAAAACAACAACACTAACACTTAGTGTACTACCATTGTTTATTATAAAATACTTTACATCACCTCGCCAATGTCCATTTTGTTTATACATCCTATAATTGTTTTTGGACTCATTAGTTTTGGACTTTTGCTTTTGTCTTAGATAGTGCTTCTTCAAGACTTGTTTCTCTCTTCCATTCACTACTAAAGTAAATAATAAAGAATTAATCTTTTCATTTTCTAGTATTTCTTTCTTAAGAAGTATAAATTGTACCACTTCTTCTATGATCTCTTTTCATTTCTTCATTCCAATCAATTAAACAAATAGATTTTATGATTGCAGTAGTATATAATAGAAATTCTAAAAAGTGTCGCCTCTTTCTTATTTCAGCATATTTGTGATTGCAATACAAATGAATGTCTCTATCGTATAATATGGTATCAAAGCCATAGATGAATAAATATCATAGATGAAAATATTTGGATGAATAATAAAACTAAATGACATTTATAGATGAAATTGTTGGATAAAAAACTCTCTAATAACCTATTGATGTCTTGTTGTTGCTAGAACTTCACCTTGTTGTTGAACTATTCAACTACTACCAGTTTTGATTTCTATTGGAGTTGATCTCTTTTTGATGCTACTATTGAAAAAGTGTTGTTTCACATCATCATAGTTTGATACA